GGGTTTCTCCACTAAAAAACCTTCCTCTTCAGGAACAGGGCATAGTTTTCTTGATACTTGTTTATGTCACCATCCGTATCCCATTGCTGGCTTCGTTGGTTTAATACACCATTACTGCTTACAGAATCATCCTCCCTAGGACTAAACTGAAGGGATTTATGGGTGAACAAGTAACCTGTTGAGAAGAATTCCATCTTTGTAAGTGTCCAATAGGTCCGGTTTTTCTATACCTTTGGTCCAATTTACTCATTCTCCCTCAAATCCAGTTCTTCAAACTATTTTCTGGTTCTGGATTATACTTTGACGATGCTAGGGAACATACTTCTTGTAATCTAGATTATTGTCTTCTTTCTTGTATTTTTATGTTTCTTTTTCATGTTGATCGGTTTTTATCCCCTTTACAATTCATTATCATTCTGGCCTTCGGTATTTCAGAACTAAGTGTACCTGTTTTGAATTTTGCATTTTTAGAATTAAAAGGAATTTTAAACAGGTACTTACTTCTGACAAACTTTCCCTCCCACCTTCACAACCTGGCACTTTCAATAAAATCTATATTCTGGTGGGAAAACAGAGCTTATTGAAGATCCTCTGACACTTGCACAATAAGTAATGGAAGGTGGAAGAGTGTAGAAGTGTGGGTAATGCATAAAGTCATTCAGAAATTTGTACTCACATATTTTGTTGACAACATGAGTTTATATTCATCAAGGAAAAGCTTTCAGTATTTTAGAGGTACGTACCTGTTCGGAGTTCATTTTATCTATAAACATGTAAACGTTTTATGTGCAGTTTAGAAAATCTGGCTTCAGTTAACTTAGAAAAACATTTTAGTTACAAGTCTGTATAAGTGTGATGTAGCATTGCTCTGAATTGATCTTGCTTAAAATAAAAGAGAAATAATTATTTTTTTTGCTTTCTTTAGCAATAATGAGAAGACTCTGAATAAAAATAGTCTTTATAAGCTGTGTCTCTGTGAAGAAATACAAAAGCTAGTGAGAAAAGTAGACTACCAATTTTATCAGAACCTCGTTGATGTCCTCATTCCCGACTGTACTCCGACCAATTCCAAGTAGGTAATCTTTTGTTATGTATACTTTTTGACTAGACAGAATAAACTTTTGTGCATAGTTCTTTGTTTTATTATTCTGTCATTTCTTGTGTATTATTAGTGTTCTCTAAGAGGAACAAGGTCTCTGTCAACCCATTTGTAACTGCTATTCTAGCAACACTTGTAACTAGTACTCCATCACCCCATTTGTAACCATTTAACTGTCACTCCATCACCTCATTTATAACTATTATTTTATCAACACAAATGTAACTAGTACTCTATAATCCAATTTATAACTATTATTTTATCAACACACTTGTAACTAGTACTCCATAATACAATTTGTAACTATTATTTTATCAACACACTTGTAACTAGTACTCCATAATACAATTTGTAACTATTATTTTATCAACACACTTGTAACTAGTACTCTATAATACAATTTGTAACTATTATTTTATCAACACACTTGTAACTAGTACTCTATAATA